AAGAATATCTCTTTGGATTTGAGACTTTAGTCTTTGCAACTTTACAGATCTTCTTTATGCACCAAGAGCTTGTAACACTCCAAAGAGAAAGGAAAACTTGAAATCGCATCATATGACCCCTTTAACATGGAAGTCGGTTTCTGCCGTGGGATAACAAGAATAAAAAAGGTAATTGCAACATTTTATATTACAATACAGACTTTTTTAGAGTAAAAAAAAAGAAAAAAAAGTGTTAGATATAAATGTAGGATTTTGAGATATAAAAATAATTATGAGAAGAAAAGTTGTAATTGTGAGATATAAATTAACAATTTTGAGATAAAGAGTCACAGTTAGCATTTAATTAATAATAAAAAAAAAATTAAATCCTTCGGTGGAAACAAGCCTCCATATGCTTTGAGTTTTCTTACTTCAGCATTAAATTACAGAAAACTAGTTAACGCTGCTGCATGAATGTTTCTAATACTGAGGGAGTGACGGCAGATTTGACATCGCTTCTGACCCCCGTAATAAATCTCGCCATAATTTTTCCTCTATTGGAAAATCATAGAAACACTATTGAGGATTTTTCTTTCATATTGGAGCAAATGGGAACGCGAACATGATATTTATTGTAGCTTATGTTGGCCATTATAGAAGTTTAACCAACTATGACGAATTCTGCTTCTGAGAAACCCAGAAACAGGTCCATTATTATCAATAACTTGTTTAGTATATTAGATTTACTGCCATTGCTTATTTAATTGCATCACACACACACACACACACTTTCTCTCTTTCATATACACACTCAACTGTTATTATCCCCAATCCACACTTATGGAATTAGTAGTTAATTCTTTCATATATGATTGTCTTTCCTCCACAGTTTTCAAATGCTTTATTCTTGAATTAAATGTTGTAATGTTTTGATTCATCTCTAATTTGGCTGATTTGGTTCAAGCCTCTTTATTAAAGAAATGCATAGGGCAAACATACTTTCAGAAGCAATGCTGCTTAAGAATCTTTACGACGTACTGCAAGCTAAAAGACTTGATTGAATCTACAACTCTGCAGACAGATCTTTGGACAAACTAACTGCTCTTATTCTCCTTGTTGTCTTACAGGATGATGAACGGGTAAGTTAGCGTTTGATTGTTACTCTCGTGAATTTACTGTCATTTGAAAGGATTTACATGGTAGCAGTTTATGGCGGTCTTTCTAGTGTCCTCTGGATCGTGAGCCCACTAATGAGACTGAAGAGGTGTGCGACTGCAACCAAGGCCAGCCGGGACCTCCAGGACCGAGGGTCAGTCAGGATCTCCACTTATCATTCCTGTTTAAATGCATACAGTCGCTTATTTACAGCCAAAGTCTGATCTCAACAGGGTTTGCGTGGAGAGAAAGGAAGGGAAGGACCCCCGGGCCCAGATGGTAAGCCTGTGAGTAAAACCCCATATATTCAGGATATGAGTCTTTTTCTGGCCAATCTGTGTGAACTGTACAGTTCTGAAATGTGTGTTTTCTCAATAAAGGGACCCCCAGGTTCCAGAGGAGAGCCAGGAGATCCAGGTATACCTGGAGAGAAGGTGAGATGCTCTTATGGTTTGAAATCATTGCTACGATTTTGAATGCCGCAGATGTTCGGTTTCGTTTACTACAGTCAAACTGAAGCGCACGTGTGTTCAGCGTCTGCAGTCTCATGAAATGAGGACATAAACACATGAACAACATCTCCAGAACTGCTCTGAGAGTCACTTCATCAGCATTTCACTGTTTCATTTGAGAAAAACTATCATCATATCATACACACAGAGAAACTTAAAGGTCTTCACAGCAACCCGTCAAAATAAAAGTTCGGTT